ACCCTTGCATACCCTAACCGCAAGTTAACTGATCAGTTCCACTGTCGAAATCACTAACATTCGAAAGAGCGTACCTTTTTTAGCGTGGCTAAAGTTACCAAACTATGAATGTCACCAGGCCCATAGTAAAGTAAGCTTCTCTCTGAATATTTTTAGGCCTATTTGTCGTCTTTGGTTTCCTAAAAAGACAGTGACTGGTTCCAGCTTTTTGGCTTTTAATACACACCAGTGCATTGAAGAGTGTTTGTTTGGAATTCAGGGAAAGTAGATATGACAACTGCATTGCATCTAGGGCCTTTTCAATGAATCTTTTGTGAAGAACAATCAACGCAATTATATAGAATTTTGCGTGTATACTCTTAACATTCTTGAAATTACTACTATGATCGAGTCCGGCTAGATTCATTGTCCCAAGTACGCAAAATAGACCGTTTACAATGAGCTCCACCTTAGTGAAAAATGGTCATCTTTATCATCAGTTGTCATTTTGAAATCCGAAACTTCGTTTGAAGTGGGTAGAAATGCCTTGTCAAACTAGATATTGTTAAGGTTCTGCACAAAAGATTCCGCAGTAGAGTAGAACCAATCTCGTCACTTTTTCAGTACATTACACAGTTTTTCCGGAACAGGTATTTAAATAAATAAAACTATGGTTCTTTCCTTACGAATACAAATGTCAGTTTTTGGAAACTAATAAATTATCAAACCATTAGATAACCGCGTAAACTAAGGGACATTGGGGCAACAGCCAAATTTCACCAAGTTCACTTTTAGCTGAAGGTACTGAAGGACTGACCATATTCAAATGGTTCACACTATCTACTGATACATACACACTCTCAGTTTCTTGGTTTAGAAATCGAGTAGGAACTTCAAAGATGATTTTTGGTGATAGAAGGACAAACATAGTGCAAAATCAGTGCGGATTGAAGAGGTTATTGAATTAATCGGATGAAAGAATTTATGAGCAGTTATTACTTCCAGGCATGGTTTAAAAATTCGACCCACTCAAACTAACGATTGAAAATGTCTGTGAGAAACAGTAATAGGAATTAATAGGCGAGTACCGAATGCGACAATTAAATGACATTTTTTGACCAGAATAGTTTTGTATGAACTATCTGCGTTGTGGTAGGTGAATTGTAGTGATCTCATCCTACTATTCTGCGTTTTTCCCATTAATAGCATCGATTTCCAACTTTATGAAAGGCCTAATTGGCAGTAGTTGACCACTAATTTCACAAAATGACAACCTTTTTATATTGCCACATAAGTGGCCACAATACACGGACACTATGAAGTGGTAATATGTGCTCTGTTAGCTGCAAGGCATGATCATGATCATTTTCACTACAAAATACAGCAAGTGGTTTTCCTGTGCATTCTAGAGCTTAAGAAAGCCTTCAAGATTGCACAAACTTTTCTAATTTACTTTTCGGATGAATTAGTAAGGAAAAACAGCAGTCTCAAAAAAACGGTCTCACTACAAGTAAATTAAATGCATTGAAAGATCACTTTCCTAAATAAGTTATCATGTAAACATGTGACACGTATAATTACCTCTTTGGTTTCAATGGTGATTGCTAAATGAAAGAACCTGCCTAACTGACTGGTGGCGTTAAATGTGTAGTGGTTTACTTTTACGAAGAAAACACAGTTGCTGAAATATAAACAGTTGTTAATGTACTTGATTCTGACAGCCGTTGTAATATTGTACACCTCTTTTTTATCTGTACTAAAGACTATCTCTCGCGCGACAAGCGTGTCTTAGCATGTCGGTCCCCTGTCCTCTCTCGTTGTTAGCCGCTCATGTATGCTAGCTCATGATTATTTCGATATCACGGGTCAAGCATTAAATGTACTTCCTCTGGAATTTCCTTTTATCTGATTACTAGAGTAGCAGGATTACCATTTGTTATCCTACGAAGTGGTATTTTTAATAGGTACCAAAACATTGGTGAGCGAAATCTAAGAACACGCAACAAATTCGGTGAGTCTGTCATTTTTCTAACCCATTTTTTTGCTATTGTAACTGTTGTTTGATATATTATATACATATATATATATATCATAACTACAACAGTGTTTGAAAGTGGTAGATAGACCAAAAAACGACAATTTCCTAGCACACTCCCATATACAGGTTCTAAAATTCTGATCTGTCGCATTTATTCCCCACGATTCAGAGGTCTGGTTCGCGGCACTGGTATCTCGATTGGTGATCCGCCGCATCACGAACCAGTGGTAAATGTTCGCCTGTGCCCTGGAGCTTTTACCTGGGGACCATACCGAATTACAAGGGTATTTCATTTACCTGATGACATTTTCCACGCTTTACTCGAAAAATTTCCCTAGCTGACTAAACCACTCAAGGGGAATCTATCGGTGACTCATCGTGTGGTATACCACATCGTCACCCGCGGACCACCAGTCACGGCACGACCTCGCCGACTGGCACCGGACAAATTGGCTTCCGCCAAACTTGAGTTTGATAATTTACTAGCTACAGATATTATTCGTCCTTCTCACATTCCCTGGGCCTCACTACTCCACATGGTTCGCAAAAAGGATGTGATAAGTTGGCGACCACGTTGGAATTTCAGAGCCGATACGTCAGGTACAAACGATAAAGGAAAATGATCGTCGTGCAATGATGGCTATGCTCCAATAGTTTAGATCTGTGTTCGAGGAAATTATTTCCGGAAATCGTACGAATACAGTACAACACTATATTTTCACGGGGGACCGTATGCCCCCTGGCAGCCGCCTCGCAGAATACCTGTACACAACCGACCACAACTAGAGTCGATGATAAAGGATATGTTAGATAAAAAGATTAAGGTTTCTTCATCATCCCCCTGGGCGTCACCTATTGTTCTTGTGAAGAAGAAAGATTACTTGCTCCGACTCTGTGTATACTACCGACGCCTTAATGCCATAACTAAAGGCAATTCTTTTCCACTTCCGCGTATTGATGCTACACTGGACGCCTTATAAGGTGCTTGTTGGTTCTCCACCTTAGATCTAGCATCTGGGTACTGGCAAGTGGAAGTTCGACCGCAGGATAGGAAGAAAACTGCATTCATAGTACCAAATGGTTTGTATGAATTCCAGGTAATGCCTTTCGGTTTAACGAATGCTCCGGCTACTTTTCAAAGACTGATGCAAACAGTATTACAAGATATAGCGCCCCACAAATGTTTGATTTAACTTGATGACATTATTGTATTCGGTAACACGGCTGAACAACACAATGCTAACCGGAAAGCTGCTCTGAAGCGTCTTAGACAACATAACCTAAAAGTAAAACCATTCAAATCCCGTCTGCTACAGAAGGAAGTAGTATTCTTAGGACATCGTATCACTGCAGATGGCGTGAGTATAGATAATGAAAAGACGCGTGCCATTGTTACTTGGGCGCAACCAAAAACACCTGGAGACGTTCGTAGTTCCGTGGGTCTCCTGTCCTATTACAGACGTTTTGTCCGTGGCTTTGCATCTTTAGAAGCACCTTTGCACAGACTGACACATTAGGGAAGAAAATTCCTATATACCAGCGAGTGTCAACAGTCATTCGACACGTTGAAGTCACAGTCAACTTCACCACCTACACCAGCCTTTCCCGACACCTCAGCTAGTTCCTCAGCTATTGGAGCAGTTCCATCACAAGTAGCCCGGTAGACGACTAGACAAGAGTGAAGCACGTTATTCCACAACACGTCGAGAAATGCTAGCATTAGTAAAATTCTTACAGCACTTCCGTCATTATCTACTTGGTAGACCTTTTCGTGTGCACACGGATCGCCGTGCATTACAGTGGTTTCGTTCTTTCTGTGAACCAGAAGGACAAGTAGCACACTGGCAGGAACGGTTTCAAGAATTTGACTTCACATGCGAGTACCTTCCGGGGAATAGATATACCGATGCAGATGCTCTCTCTCGCGTGTCTCTGTCCGTAGATACCGTTGCTGTAATTCTGAGTACGGCAATGGAGACCGACTGGTCCTCGCTGCAAGCAGCAGATCTGGATTTACGGATTATTTATCAGACAATTACATGGGAACAATCAGCCGTCCATGAGGGAGTTAAGAGACCGATCTCTCACTACGCGTCTTATTTGTAACAAATGGAGCAACTTAAAATTATATGGTGACATGCTACTCCTAATTAACGGGTCCAGACAATCCCTGCTGATAGTACCGCAAGTAAAAACCTAGAGTATTGTGGAGCAAGTTCATCGCGAACTCGGTCACGCAGGAGAACGAAGAACTGAATATGCTGTCCGCCAGCGCTATTGATGGCCGTCTATTCACGAAGATGTAACTGAATTCTACAAAAACTTATCGGACATCAGTACATGTGTCCACGGGATTCTCACCTACTATCTTCCTATTCGAGTATGAACTACGCCTCCCGGGATACAGTCACCTTTGCTACCATACGAAGAACAAGAACACGTAACGTACATCCGTACTCTCCGTAACTGCCTGGCCGATGCATACCGCTTAGTCAACATCAACTCGCGCAGGGATAGTGGTCATCAAAAAGACATGTACGGTCGTCAGTTGCAAGGACCAATGTATCCAGTTGGAGATCGTGTCTGGTTACGCCCAATGACATCAATAGGTAGTTGCAGTAAATTCCACCAGCCTTGGCAGGCCCCTTCGAAATCGTCCTCATCCGATCCCCCACGACGGTTGTGTTACGTAACCCGCAACGACCTCAGGACGACGTAATAACGGTGCACTACAACCAAATAACGCCAGATCAGACCATAGTACCTACTGATGCTCGGTTCACAGACCCACCACCTGCTACTAGTTTTTATGAGATACCGGCTGAAGGAGGAGCAGCATATCCTTGTCCGAGATCAGGCACTGAGGACAGTGTTTCGTTAGGAGAGGGGGTGGTGTAACGGAGTCAAAATCTCCATGTATGGTGTTGCTAACCTGTTCTGTTTTCTTTCTATTTGAGGGCGATCAAACATAAACGCTTTGGGAGCTGAAGAACAAGCCCTGCGTGCTCTGAACTTACAGGATGACTCATAAGACTTTGGTAAACTAGCCACCCCGCGTACGTTAAATTTCAAATAAAAGAGTGCGTGGCTACCACTTCGTGTTCTCTCTTGGTGTAAGGCGTTAAACTAACCTTGTGTGTTTTGATTTTAGATCACATCCGCCCTTCAGTGACTGCTGGTTACACGTGTTACACAGCACACAGCAGATTTTCATATTTTGCTGTAATTTCGCTGTAAGTTCCTCAAGAGAACCATACAAGAGCATATAGTTTAATTTGTATGTGATTTTTTTTGTTCACCAATCATATGACAGTAAACTATGATACGAGTACATTTGAAACTTTCAAGAAGGGATTTCGATCCTATACTTTGAAAATAGCGTACGCGAGAAAACGAATTTAAGAAAGGGGCAACATATCTTTTTTATCCAACAAAGCAGTCTTTAGCTACCAGTGTATTCCTTCGGTTGCTGTGTGAAAATATAGCTGAATTACTAGAAGACTTTCGTTGTCTTATAGACTGGGACAAATAGTAATTGAGACCAGTCAAATAGGTTACGTCCATTTCCCTGATTCTAACTAAGATCTCAGTCAAAGTAGCTCTTAGAACTGCACCGCCATCCTTAAAAGTCTTAGGTGTCATTCTGTCCGGACCCGCTGCTTCCCCTCGCTTCAAATTTCTTATAGGTTTTTCAACTTTATATAGAGTCGGACGACCTACGTCGATTAGCCATTCAGGTTGACTGGAGATCTTGGGCAACCGAAGTGTGATGAAGGCCAAATGAACTGGTTCCTTAAGTGTTTTGCCCATCAGTCCAAACTCTTGGATTGAGAATGAATGATGTGACCATCCTTTTCCGAGATAGTCTCGCTAACACTCAGGTTCCTAATACGTTTTTTCAATGAGTATGAATAGTTGTATACTGTTACCTATCGCTGTTGCTTTACCATCGCTCTTGCGTTCACTACTGTTCACGATCATTGCTTGGGCTTCTCTCAAGCTGAGTCCGCTCCCATCATGTTCTTTGCCAGACAGGATGAGTTTTTCGAACATCCATCACTTTAGTAGACGCTATTGAAATCCACTCCTTAACCTTTCGGTTTAACTTACTGGTATATATCGTTGCTGTTTCCACAGCTTTTTTGGATATCATTCCAAACTGCCTTGAAATGGGAATGATATACATGGCTGTCTAACTGTTTTTCTAGTTGCTCCTGAAATATATAAACATGGCTTTGTTATCGTTTGGTAGGACTCTGAGCAGACTCCTTGCTATTTCTTTTTCTTACGTCTGGTAAGCGGCAGACAGGTAAGCTCTCGTACTAGCTCATGATCCGTGTTTAAACATGTGCTATGGAATGAGCAGCAGTCTCCTGTCGAGCCTCTCCGTCGGTGGCTGGTAGCAGTGTGGTCTAGTTGGGTCCATCATTAAGTGAGGTTTGGGGGTCGCCATGTCAAGCGCTGTTTTTACTTATGCTTAAAGTTAGTATTTGCTAGGAATGAGCGGTTATCTGAGCACAGCTACTGCGAACTGTCTCCACTATCTGTTCTTTGATCCGACCTTTTCTACCCCCTCGCTTCCTTCTGAAAAAGCAGCATCACTGTAGATGCTGGTAGTCTGTTCACTGCTCTACATTTGTAGGAGTGAACTCATATAGGGATTGTTTTGTGATCTTGTTGTCTCTCATCAATACTCTTTCGTCCTCGAATAATATTTCCTTATCAACCAATCGGTTCAAGGATTATTTCATAGGACCAAATATTATATACAGTTATGACTTCTAAACTTGGCTACCACTAATCCAGGGTTTTTGACATTCAATTAGTGCAAGATATATGGAGATTCGTTTTGTGGGTTAGTTGATATTTTCGAAGCTGACCTACTGAATTATGGAATAACCATATGATGGTAGAATGGATCTATATATCACAGTACTCTATTAGACGTTAATATTGTTCTAGATATTGCATATCGCTTAGATCAGAAACATGTAAATATTCCATTTCTTTGTATAGATACTAAAAGCTATTTCAACTACACATGCAACTAGTTTTTTGTTTATTTGCAATGCCGATTTGTAGAAATAGTGAACTTCATTTACACAAACAGATACGCACTAAATACTTGACCAGACGTTAGTACACTCACTCTTCATTACTTTTATTGCTTATTTGATTTCAGAACTTTCACAATGGTAATTTTTGGTTATTACAACTACCTTGAATGCTTCAATTTAGTCCGAGCTGCGTGTTGCTGAAATATCTGGTGAAACTGCAGATAACCTAAGAAAATTTAAATTTCGGAAATCCCAGAATACAATCGCCCTTATATGTTGTTCTTTGTTTATTGAGTAATGATCAGTATCTATCATATTCTAGTGAAAATCGATAAAGAAACTCTGACAGTCGAACCGGAACAAATGCTTGAAGTTAGATTACTGATCAAAACATTTCCTGTTTAGGATACCACGCTTGAAAATCTCAAAGATGCTTTACCGTACCATCAACCAAGATATGTTCTTTTGAGTTATCGATCCGAAAAGGAGGATGGTCGAGTAACATTTCCGTACTGCCTTTTATTCCTAACTCCAATAGGTATGTGATTGTATCGAATCAGGTATTCTAAGTGTAATTGACTGGCTGGCTGCGCATGAAGGATAGTTAATTGTAGGAAAAAGAATGAGACTTGTGCCTAAGCTTACTCACTTACCTTACGCCTGTTACCTCTAAAGGAGCATAGGTCGCCGACCAGCATTTTCCAATCAACCCTGTCCTAGGTCTTCCTTTCGAGTTCTACCCGATCGCTATTCATTCTTTTCATATCTGTCTCCAACTCTCAACCCAACGTGTTCTTTGGTCTACCATTTTCCCTTCGACACAGAGGGTCTCAAGTCGAGGCTTGTCTCGTAATGGAGTTTAGTGATTTCTTCAATGTGTGTCCTATACACCTCCAAGGATTTTTCCTAATTTCTTCCTCAGCTGCAATCTGGTTTGTTTTATCTCACAGTGGCTTGTTGCTGATGGTGCCTGGCCAAAAGATATGGTTTATCTTGTGTAGACAACTTTTAACGAACACCTGTACCTTTTGGATTAAGACTTTCGTGGTTCCCTAGGTTTCCGTTCCATACGTTAGTACTGTTCTGACATTCGTATAGAAAATTCTGACTTAAAAGTTGGCTGGTAGACGGTTGTTTTGAGCTCCAGATGATCCCTAATTGTAGAAATACTGCCGTTGCTCTGCCAATCCATGTTTTCAAATCTGCATCAGACCCACCTTGTTCATTAGTGATGGTGCGCAGATATGCAAAAGTTTCCACAAATGTGATTTTGTTTGCGCATGTCGCACTGTAGTGAAGGGTCATGCTTTTTCTCTTGGAATAGAAGGACTAGATCATCTTCGAAGTCCAGCTGCATCCGAACTGTTCACTACATCTCGTGCTTACCCTCAGATGTTGATGTCTTCATAATTGAGTCAACCACAAGAGAGTAATGTCTCTGTAGTTCTTTTACTAATATTTTTATTTGCTTTCTTGGTGATGTGTCCTTTCCAGTCTGTTAGTACTTGTTCTTCCTCCCAAATCCTACTGAAGCGAGCGTGGAACAGTCAGTCAGATGCAACGTAGAACTTCGTACGTAAGTACATCAGTTCATGTTGCCATACCACATCAGCACAGAGATGTAATTGTTAACATCTTTGCAGTTACTATTATGTTTGCTTTTAATGTCTCAGATGATACGCGATCTTGTCCTTCTGCTTTGCCACTGTTGATTTGTCTGGTAATTAACACTAATCGGGAGTTCCTTAGGTGCTGGTATGATGTTGGGCTGGTCGATTCACGAATTCTTCAAAGTGCTGTCACTACCTGTTTCGTTATTCTTGAATGTCAGTGATTACTTTGCCTTCCTTGTTCTTGACTGGTCTTTTTGGTTTACTATATTTTCCAGTGCGTTTCGTTGTATCGTATTACTGTCGCATGTTTCCTTCTCTTGCAGCTTTTTCTGCTGTCATTGTTAGGTCTTCCTCATATTTTCACTTATCAGCTCTGATGCTCTTCTTCACTTTGTTTCTGTGTATTCGATCTGTACATCGGCTTTCTCAGCTCTTGTTTGGCTGTCACCGATTACTGCCTTTCTGTTCTTCCTTTGTTGAATCTTATCCAGAGTATCAGCAGAGATCCAATCCTTGTGATAGTGCTTCTTGTATTCCAGAACTTAAAGACACGCTAGAGTTATTACTGAGAGTTAACTTGGATTCTCCGTGTGCTAGTATCCTGAAGATAGGTCGTATTAAGTTTTTGTGATGCTTTTCGCTTCCTTTGTGGCGGACCATGGGATACCAAAGATAATATTAACCGATCAAGGTCCCTGTTTCGAGAGTGATGAGTTCAAGTCCCGTCTAAAGCAGTTAGGTATAAAGAGAGTACGAACAACGCCGTATCATCCACAGACGAATGGGTTAACGGAAAGGAATAACCGAACGCTAAAGGAATGGCTAGCATCTAAAGGGGGTGACTGGGAGAAAGAATTACCATTAATCTTGCTGGCACATCGTGCCTCGGCACAGGGAACAACCAGGAAGTCACCGTTCCAGCTGATGTATGGCAGACGGCCGAGACTACCAACGCATGATAAAACCTGGCCGCAACAACAGAGATGGAATACAACAAGATTGAGAACAGAGCGGAGACAAGCAATCAGGAATGTGAGAGAGAAACAAACATCAGACATGCAGAAGTCAGAACAGGAGAGAAAGAACTGGAGACCGTTTGAAGTGGGAGACCAAGTGAAGTGTAGAGAACGGAAATGTACCACAGGAAGAGGGCCAGGGTCAGGTAAGCTGATCCCGGAGTGGGAGGGACCGTACGTAGTAACCGGGAGGCGCGGCGCAGTGTATACAATCCAGAAAGGAAACAAACAGAAACGCGTGAATGCCAGTGAACTCCAAAGGTGGTTCCAAGTGCGCCAAGAGGGTGAGCCACAAACACTGATAAAGAAGACGGCTGTACGGAGATCAGAAAGGCTGAGAGAGCGACTTGTTAAAGGGGGGACGAGTGTGGTGTGTGCTACTTATACGAACGATATAAGTAGTATAAGAATGGACGTGAAAGAAGATGTCTTACGGTCAGAAGAGGAAAACGGAAAGCAAATAGAGCAAAAGCAAGAAAGATTTAGGGCACCGACAGGAAGTAAAGGAAGCAACAGCAGGAATGGAGGAAGGCTGGAGCGATGGAAGTCAGGACTCAAAGATGGTGTGCAAATGGAGTATTCAATGTAATGTTATCGTTTTTAATTGACTAAGAGTGTAAATTTGCCGAATATGATCTATAGAACCTGCCTCAGTCTTCTCATCCTTAATTTCATCTTGGTTACCACCAAGTGGTGATCTAAAGCCATGTTAACTCCCCTCCTTGTTATGTCCTCCACGGCCCTTCCTATTCATACACATATGGTCGATTTAGTTCTGTGTAGTGTGATCTGGTGACACCCATGTGGCTTTATGTATGCGTTTGTGTGAGAATATGATACCGCCTATAACCATTTTGTTGACGGTTTGCAAGTCTCACCATTTGTGTTTCCGCTAGTTCATGTCGTCCCAAAACGCCTCCATACCCATTTTTGTCAATTCTAGCTTTGGCATTCAGATCCCCACCAGAATAGTCAAATCCTCTGTTGGTGATTTCTTGACAACTGACTAGCCTTTCATAAATATGACCGTTGTCGCCCTCGTTATTGTTGGAAGGTTCGTAGCACTAAATGACGTTCGTTGTAATCCCCTCTTTCTTCATCTTGAAGGATGTTTTGATTCTCCTGTGTCCATGAGTTTCTCATTCGGTAGGTGATTTTTGTACTTCCTTGGAAGGAATAATGGTAGCTTCACGTGTGTGAAAGGCATCTCCTTAATGGCGGGAGTACAACAGCATCTCCCGGAGCTAGTCTGTCTTGTCCTGCGTGCGTCTAATGTGTTCCAAACACCACCAGGTTGTATCTTTCCGTTTCCTCAACAATCTCTTTGGTTCCTCCGATCTTCCACGTCTTGCAGAGATTCCATGTACCAATGTTAATTGATATTCTGGTCGTGAGAATATCATCGGCCGAGTGACATCTGAAACTGGGCTTTCACCATGAGGCATGATAATTCTGCTAAATCAAGACCCAATTGTTAGGTAGATTTTAAATTTTCCTTCCTGGTTAGCTTTTTCTAGCAAGTTAGTGTTCTACAGATTCCGATCGCTAACCCCATGTTTCATCCCTCCTCCTTTATCCAGGCTTGGGACCGGCAGTAACCTTAGAAGAGCTGTAGAAGGAGTTTAATGCTCCTAAACCAGCCAAAATTATTTTTATTACCTACCTCACCAATTAGATTGATGTACGAAAACTTATGGCGTATATTCATTTTCGGTCTCAGTTAATCTGGATGTTCAGTCCAGGGTTTGTGGTAACAGTTCGCAAAACGTTCCTGCTCTCCTGTTTATTGAGGGTTCACTACTTGTTGCCTAACTTCTGGTTCCACCATACGTCTAAAATACTTTGCGAGCATATGATCGAATATCTAAAACTTATGCATATCACCTCTCAATAGTCGCGTTATGTACGCGAATAACGAAATCCGAATGCATGGGAGTTCGATACTTACAAACTGCTCCTACCGTTATTTCTTTGTAAGAACGTGCAGAAATCCTAAGTTAGAGTTTATAGTTTAGCTGAGCTACTGTTGTACTAATAAGTTACAATCAGCCTATGTTTTGGGTTACTTGCATATGAGATTTCTAGAAACAATGTTTTCATATTTTCATGGTCTTCGCTGGTCATTTTAAGCTCTAGAGATCAGTGATGTTAAAGGGTGGTCTATTTGAAACAACCTGAAGTTGTCATATATGCACATTTATGTACTATTCGTTTAGACAAATTTGGATTTCAGCTTTCAAATGCATCCAATTATTTATAGGTTCTGCTACGAACCTGAAGATGATGTACGCCGCAAGTCTTACGAATGTGATGCATAAAAGCGAAGTTACGAAAGTAAGAGTGTCTAGCATATTATATCCGCAACTATTTGTAGGTGTTTGAACTCAGAGACCTGGAAGAACTGTCGGATGAGTGGCTAAAAGAAAACTTGAATCGCACTACTTGAGTTAATAATGTAAACTGATCTTCACTTATCGCTCAAACAATTTTGTTTATATATTTATTTACCTGAATTGAAATCTGTGAAACGTTTATTCTCTTTTATCATGATATGAGAAATACCACAATAAGATTGTAAATGAAAGTATACACCGAAACAGTGATATATATAATTGGTAATAGTATTTTAGTTATGCTTCCTTCATCAATTCGTAAAAGGTTTTCTGGCCGATGCCAGTAACAATGATTATTGATTTCGGAATCGATCATTCGTGATGCGTTCTTCTATATTATTCCTAAGGCTAGTGTAGTGGGTGGTAGTCTCGAAAGCTTTCCGTAAGTCGTCGCATTAGGTTTGGAAGATTCAAACGAAACATTTAAAGCTTTTCCCAATTCACACCTAGTCCATTACTAAATGAAATATTTACACTGTGACGAAACGTTATCAATCGACCATTGGATTTCGTCGACCTAAAACCCAGCTTTTAAAGCAAAATCTTACTTTCTTAGTAATTTACGAGCAAACGGCCTGTTTGATTTAACATATTTCCATCCTCTGCTTTTCATTTACTCAACGGACTTTCGATCCTTAAGCGTGATTTGTAAGAAATGAGTGGGTCAGCTATAACGTAGAACTTCGTACGTATGTACATCAGCACACAGATGAAATCGTCAATTCAAATTCCATAGTAGTGGAAGTATTAAAGGTAATAGAGAGTAGGGTGACGAAAGTTGGCAAAATCCAGTCGCTCCTTGTGTTTCGTTGCCGAGATTTCGTCACACACCAGGCAGTCAGCATCGATGAGACTCCCGAGATAAGTGAAGCGGTCAACACGTTCAGTTGCTTTATTCCGAAACACAAGTCCCAGTGCTGACCCAAGCCAATCCTGAAGCAACCTTTCGTATTTCGTGGGGAATCGTATACCGAACATGCTTGCATTGTTGCTTAAGGTGTTCTGAAGACTGTAATAAGTCATTTTTTACCAAGTAAAATTATGTCATCAGCATATTCTAGGTCAGCAAGCGAGTATCCTAGTACAAGGTCAGACTCAGCGTTATCTCTGAAAACATGTCCATTGCGAAGTTAAATAACAATGCAGAAAGTGGACAGTCCTGGCGGACACCGCTTGAAGTAATGAATTCCGACGACAGTTTGCTATAAGCTCTCAATCGACCGAGTAGGAAGCTTTTATAAGATTAATGTACTACAAGGTATACAGTTAAAGTGAGACCTCGAAAAGTATGTCTGTGTTCCAGGACCGGTTGTAGTGTGAATATCTGGTCTGCATCCACGTCCAGACCTGGAACTAACCTGCTTATCTCAAGTCTGCTCATTAAGGTTCTAGTTAGGTGTGTAAGTATGGTCAAGGCTAGCATTCTGTATGCGGGTTTTGGAGACGTAACATACATCGATGGCACGATATTTCTAAAATCCTGGTTAAGGATGTTTATTGTTTTACTTGGCACAAAGGTCGAGCATTAAAAGCTCCAACATATAGTTTAGAGCGTGATTTCAAGAGATCAGGAAAAAAGTTTTATGGAATCGAGACGTTCGCATCAGAGGCACAAGGCGACAAAATAATGAGTAGAGGGCTGATCGTGAAGATAGTAAAGATGGGAAAAGCGGTGGCAATAGGTTACTGTAAGCAACTGTCAAGGAACGCTAAAGAAATGGAGGGGTTATTTGTGGATGTCAGAGTTCTTAGAAATATAAGACGGATTCGATTGTTACGAATTTGGTCTCGTGTGTTGTTACAGTTATGGGGGTAGAAGTCACTTCCCGACTGCCCACACCATAGAGCGGCGTCTCTTGAGTAACTTAAAAATGAAGCTGGATTAGTGGTAGTCTTGGCGACCTGAAAGCGTGAGCGCATAGCCCAAGGACAACTGCTTGCTGCCGGTCACGCACGGCCTTAAATGAGAAGTTTTATCTTCGCTCTTCAAGAAGCCTAACCACCGAGACGGAAATTCTTGAGGTAAGATAAGGTGTGATATTTTTAGGTTCGACGTTTTCTAACCCCTTGTCTCCTTCCAAGACGGCAGCATCGCTGCAGATACTGGTTGTCCGAAGGAAACATCTTAGTGCTGTCACACCTCTTTACAGTCAATATTACAACTTCGCCCTGAGTTGCTGCTTTTAGTCTCACTGTTCTGCAATCGACCTGTCTGGCATGATAAAACCTACAGAAATATATGTCCCAGCCAATATAGCTACGGTCGGGATTGCTTACTGAGTGATCTTGCGATATACCAACAATGCTTCGAAGACAACTATGATGGAATACCAGTAACGTATGCGTATCCTTTACTCTCACTGGCTATGTTTGACACCCATGGAGTATGACGGAGCAAACTGAGGCGCAAAAGGATCATCCTTTGGTTAGTGACGAGAGCTAGGCAAAGCCAATCGAGCCTTTTTTATCCGTGAAGATCAGGTCAGAACATAGTTCCCTAACGAAAAGACAGAATACGACCTTAGCAATCAAAAGCATGAACGTTCTAACTTATTAATAAGTCAGTGGCTAACAAGACAGCAGACGTATACGCCCAATACTAATTAAGCTGGGCGAACAGTTTGTGGATTATGTTCCAATATTTTGAGAAGATGAAGTTCTACAAGCCCCTAACTTAACATTAGTTTTGCAGTAGTGTAGGCTAGTCAGCAGTTATCTACAAGCCTGTTTATAAAGGAATGCAGCGAGAAGTCGACACAACTGTGATGCACAAGGTGAATCACATGGAAGTCGTCTACTGAGTCTCATATATCATTTGAGCGGTGGTGGTGGAGGGACAAGATATTAGGTAGAGATCTGACAGCAAGCAGATCCTTCATCGTCTGCACAGGCTTTTGGAAATTCGAATACGGCTTATGCGATTTTATATATCCACTGAAAAAATAATGTATCTTTAGGACGTGGGACAGAAGTAAACAATGTAACAAATTAAATATAACAGTCAGGATATTTCATATTCCACAAATACGTTAAACTCTAGAAATGAACAGTAAACTGAATGGTATCAATAAAAGGGTATATAAAAATCATATTTACAAGATTTTAAGTCAAACAGTTAATGCATCCTGGATCTAGCTTTCTTTTTCTTTGATAAATTTTTCAATAAGCTTGATGAGACTCGTTTAACATCTCCGTACCTTCCGGAATACGAAGAGGAATATAAATGGTTTTTTCTGAAACTTTCACATGTTTGACGCGCTGTGTTTTCACTATTTCCACCATCTAAAACTCGGACATGAATCCCATTCAATCTGTTTATTCTTTTCCATGATTTGTGATTACGTGTTTCCAAGTCAGATCTCAATGTGTGAGAGTTAACCGTGGAAAAATCAACATTGTCAAAAAGTATTGTCTTTGGTTTACTCTTATCATGCTCTTCACTGCCGTCATACCCTTCATCGGACTCTGAAACAAATAAGTGATATTTTGAACAATGAATTTTTTGAAAAGCATAACTACCAGCAGAGATAATACTATAAATTAACTATTAGCAGTATAAGGTTTAGTAATAAGGCTGTACTAAGAATAGGGTAGATTTTAGTTTTATGTATTTCAAGTGGTGTGGACTCAAAGTCAGTCAGTCAGTTGCAACGTAGAACTTCGTACGTAAGTACATCAGTTCATGTCGCCATACCACATCAGCACAGAGATATAATTGTCAATTCAAATCCAATAGTAGAAGAGGTAGTAAAGGTATTAGAAGTAATCGGAGAGGTTAGAATTAGAAGATATTATTCAAGAAGTATGATTCAATGAGAAAAGTTTAGAAAGTAAAAGCTAGAGGTGTTGAAGAACCCAGAAGATTAGGATTTGAGAGAACACAAAGAATAAACGCACTGGCGCCATTGCGAACGATTTTGAGCCATGTCATTCAAGGTCTCTAACCATCGATTATTATCATCTCGCGGACCCCAACCAGGTAGTCGACAATTACCGACATGGCTAAGTCCACTCGTCAATGACTTCATGGATTTATGCCATGTTTTGGTCTGGCCGCCCCTAGCTTTCTTCCAACCTATTCCTACACCACAAAACAAAGCTCGACGAGGCAGTCGGTGGTTAGGCATACGCAACACGTGTCCCAACCACCTCAACTGATGAAGTTTCACCACTTCATCGATTGATTGTGGACTTAAAAGACTTATTCTGGTGATCTGCGCTGATTCCAATAGGCTATACAGTATTCTACTCAATTAACTAACTGCATTCTAAATGACTTCGGTCAAACGATTGAATATAATTATGGAATCAAAATCGAAAACAAAAACTAGATGCGTATAAAACTCCTCAGAAAATGTCAATCACGATGTAGTACTGTATAACTTACTGGTATGATTTTCGAGAAGACATACCAATAGGATAACAAACCACTATTTATAGAAATAGTTTATAAGAGGTAATTCATTACAAAACATGAACACGTATTTATCCGACAATCATAACTTTTGTCCACTACTCTTTGGTTTTCGTTCAAAAAGAAGGAGAAACGGAAGTGACTACTCATTAACGTCAATCGAATAACTATGGGAGTAAACGTATCTCGTAAGTGGAGATAATCAAAAACTTAATATACTGTATGTCGTGACAATAAAGACACTCATAAACTTCTACGTCGGACGCATAAGTCTTGATAAAAAGCACTCAATAACAACATGAGGTGTAGTAGGCTCACTTAGTTTGAAATGCACTGTTCAATCTTACAAATCAAATAATAGTGAGATCGCCCTAAACACTACATCAAATATACAACTGTTAAGGAAATATAATTTATAAATTACACGATACCGTTGGTTGGAATACTAGTCAGCCAAATGTAAAGTAGGGCCTGATACATCAATGACTTTAAACAATTGGTAACATAGGACTCCTGGTTAGGAATGTAGTTTTCTGTCATGTGTCTATTTAATAGTATTTGGATATATTTTTCATAAAACGATCACCTCTAATGAAATATTTGACAGATGGGAAGGTGGGTTAAAGGGGATCTATGTAACATGACTCAAACAGAAGTGACAAGAAATCAATCATTATACAAGGGTGGTAACTTACCATTGCCACACAATAGTTGACTCTCGTTTGATGAACAACTGGCTGGTATACCCAAGAATGAAGATTCATCTTGCAAGGGAGAGTGGTCATCATCAGTTTCATCATACTGGAGATGATCTGATGTGTTGAAATGTCCTGGACAGTTAAATTCTTCCTCTAAAGAATCCTTTTTCTTAATATAATTAAGTATATGTGGTGGGAGTGATCTTACATTTGACTTTTCGTTATTGTCCAGCGGTATATACTAGTTTTTTAAACGTCAGGATTTAAAACATACAAGGCTTACTGGGATCTCTTGGTGAGCTGTTTCATCAGGTTGACAGACGTCCTAAAGTAAAAGGTAATAAAATGAGCTGGACTTCACTGTTTGTTTGTGTACATCATGCTTAGCTTTGCGCAGTGCTTTGGTTTTTATGCGGGTTTCAATGATCGTTTTATTAATTTTCTTCTGATGAATTTCACGCTGTTTAGCTTGATCAGTAAAACTACATGATACAGGGAGGTCGAGTTCAGCTTCGACTCCACCATCTTTGTTTCCTGAACTGATAGACTGTGTCTGTAAAGGAATAAGGCAGTAAATAGTAATATATGGACAGTGTTTCAATAAACAATTTAGCTACTATGGAATATTTGCATTTACAATCCTAATAAGATAGTTCTCATTGTTCGCAGAGGCGAGTGAGAGTAAGTATAAGCAAGATCAGATCCCCGGCGTCGACAGGTAGCTTGGTAAACACTAGGCTTCACCCTAACATCTTATTTATTGATTATACAACCCCCTTACATTATTTTGATAACACATGATAGAACATTTAGTCCTGTTTTTTCAGTGTTATGACTATTTCACAGTACCAGTGAGTGAACAATTAGTAGTCAATCATATCTTATCCCGACTGCAAATACATGCTGATGTTGAGGTTTTATAGGCAGTCTGGTCTAAATGATGTATCTATCTATCTAAATATGTATCAAGTAGTCACTATTTTGAACCAGCATGTTGTGGTCAAGCTTAGCATTAGATATAAAGAGACAAATTAGGCGGTGAGACAATTGTGTTGCTCCAAGTTGTCTAGCATTGGACTAGGTGGGTACCAGCGGTAGGATACATGATGAGAAGTTTAATGTACTCGGTTCTTACGCTCGGGAGCTTTTTACTGAATAAGTTCACAGCGTATTTTAGAAAACACATCATCTGGTGAGAGTGGATAAGAAGTATTAATACATTATTCACAGTGATACAAGCTAAACACGGGCTTTACAGTTCTGACGAACCACCCTAAGTGTAGCGAACGTCCATAGGTAACCTATTTTAGATCATAAGCGTTAGGCTGGACTACGTAGTTACAATACACCTGCGCTTTCCTTTAGTAACATTTACAGGTGAACAAATCAAAGCTGTCGAAAGATTTGTATGAAAAAGTTTGTGCAATAAACTATGATAGTAATGACCCATCGTATTACCAAGTTATTGATTATAACTCCAAAGACAAAGCCAACCTCCATGTCATGAGTTGATTGTTTGCTTAGGAAATACTATACTAAACTAGGTTTATTGGTAATAAGACTACTGTTAGTGTTATAATCATTACTACTGACTAAATAGGTGTGACAGAAGCAAGACATCTGACCAAGTGACTGACATTTTTATTAGTCTCGCCCCTGTTAAAACTAAACATTTGGGACATTTTCATAGCTCTTGATCTTTGAAGTAAACAAATTCTCATGCACGGTTTAAAATCCGAATACGATTTTAATGAAAATCGCCTATCAACACAAAAGCAATCTTATGAAAATTAGAACCATGACGAATCAACATTTCATTCGTATATCACTAGAATCCTAAGCCGGCGAGCCTTACGCTTCTCGCAGATACATAAAGTACAGATGATGCTATTGTAAAAACATATCCCCAGTATGAAACGCAAAATTAAATCTTCAGAGTGATTAGACAGTCAATATCTAGCAAAATAATTTATTCGGAGCCAAACACCGATCCACACGTCGATCCGAATTTAACACATTGGTGTTCTAATTCTAAAATGGGTCTCGAGTTAAGGTTGCATTTGATTACAATGCTGTATGTTAACGATGCTCTGTACAACAAATAAAACCATAGTATTAAGGGCGAGGCAGTTTGGCATACACTTTTCGTCATAATAGTCACGCGTTCAAGCAACCAACTGATCGACCTTCGTTTGTATTATGCGCAGAAGCAACCCTTCGAACCTAGATCCAATATCCAATATCTTTTTCACGAGCTAGTGTAAACCAGTTTGATTTCTTCGCGCTCGATTCTTGTTCTTTCAGTACGGTTCCAGGTGTTCGGTAATGTCCAATGGATGGAGGTCTAGCCACTCGACTGTCTAATTCTAGTCAGTTGGCAGTTGGTTTTGAGTTTGTATGTCTCGGGAGTTGAATGAAACGTTTGTTTCAGGGCAGTAGGGTTTCTGGATACTAGCAGCCGTCACATTACCAAACCGGAGATCAGTTAGCTGCAATATGGAGAGTAATAAGGGTAATAAGGATAAAATTATAATGATAATGTGAATGAAATTTCAGAACTGAGTAATATATAGATGAATTTAGTTTGTTAACTGGTAGTGAGGATTGTGAGAGAGGACCGAAGTGTAAGCAAGAAAGAGGAAACAGAGATAATAGGCGAGATAGATTCAGTAAGTGATCTGAGGAGATGGCAATGGTAACAATTAGCAGGTCTCAAGATATGCATCAAGAACAGCTTGTCCAAGAGGGAGATGAAAGTCCCTATGTGAGTACGTGATTATCAAGTTTCTTCTTAAAGCAGTCCACTGAGGGGGCTGTAACTACCTCGGCTGGGAGAGCATTCTAACTTGCGACGACTCGCAATGAGAAAAAGTGTGCAGGAATCTGAGTATTCGCTCTTTCATGTGCAATCTTTCGAGGATTGCCTCGAGGGGAGTATTGGTGATGCGTCGGTAAGATGCTCACATTCGGATGGTTTGGCGTGTTTCATATGGTGTACGCCACAATCAGGTCGCCTCTGATTCCCCTATAGCTCAGTGGAAATAATCCCAAGAGCTGGAGTCTATCGTCGTAGGGTTTATTTTTCAACACTATCACCCATTTCGTTTCTCGTATCTGCACTCGATCCAAGAAATTTATGTCTCTTTTAAGCAGAGAGGGTGCGATGACGTTGTGAACCTCCAAGTGAGGGCGCGCGTACGTCTTAAACAGGGTTAAAAATAATTTCGGGGTGATAGCACCAAGCTGTCTTCTCATAAAGTGAAGAGTCGCATTTGCCTTGACTGTATCCCCTACATAGTTTGGACTGGTGTGGAGGCTTTCAAATGGTTTACGACCAAATAGAGAAAGCTTTCGCCCAACAGGCTTCTGTATCTAGTGGCAATGGATCATCAATACCTTTATTTAGGAACGAATAAAAAGGAATATCAGTAAATTACAATGAAATTATGTCTTGAGTCATTAGGAAAAAGTCAAGGGAAATCGCTCAGTTAGTAATGAATTCCACAATGTGACTACTAGTAAAAAGTAGGTTTTCCTGGTGTCCATTTTCCCGTTGTATCCATGGTTTCTGGGTGTCTTCACTGAGGCTTGTATTAAAACTGAGCTTAAGAAAGCATTTTAGGAGGTGCTCAGGAGAATTTATGGTGCTACGAGTTATTAGAAGGCCACCGCTGAGACGCCTTTACTCTGACGTGCGAAGATTTATTGACCTGAGGCGCTCCTAATAATGTTTGAACTACACTCTGCGAAATGATTTCGTGGCTTGTCTTTAGATATGTTTCACTGTATTCTCATCCTTTCGGATTAAGATAGGAAACACTATATTTCCATACTGTAACTGGAGTCTGATGAAGCATAGGTGGAGAGTTCTATTGTCGAGATTACCAAAAATTATCTTCAACGATACTAGTGCAGGATTTGCTGTGAATGCATTTTCATTACTGTCAGCGTGAAAATGTAGATCTTTTAGTATCAAGACTCCTATATCCTTTGTGACTTGAGACACATACGGAGCAGTGTTACCAAGATTGTTGACATATAATGCAAGATTTCTCGGGCGCATTAATTTGCACTTTAGAGCGTTAAAAGTAAGTCCGTCATCATTCCCTGACTTGAAGTTCAGTCACATCTTTCTAAAGAGCCAGTTTATCAAACTTCTCTCCAAAGTTTAAAATCATTTGAGAAAGGTGATAACTCAGATGACACTTGTTGACGGAGGCCGTCCATATAAATTAGTAGAAGTGATCCAAATACTGAAGGCTGAGTGACATCCAGTAACCTGGGAAATATTATAGTTGACGCTGACCTTAAAAAGTCGATTATTTAGATACACAGTAGACCAAGAAATTACATATGACCTGGTGCTTAACATCTTGAGCTCTTAGATGAGATGAATATGGTTAACCATATAAAAATCTTTTGAACAGTCAAGATATATCAATCACATCAACCTTCCCTTTCCGATCGGGAATGGCTGTCTATCTGTCCGTCCCAGTCAGCAAGTTGGTTATAAAGAGTAGTTCCCCTTTCTTAAGCTATGTTGCTAGTGAGAAGAAACGTTCATGGATAATAAGTGTTCACATTCACACTCAAAAATCAAGGACTCAACTTTTCATATTACTTAAAGGAATGCTAATGGTTGGTAGTATGTTCGGAAAACATACCAAACGGTGTGGCCAATTTTGAGGCCTTTTCTTTCAGTAAAGCAAAGTGAACTGATTCTGGGCCGGGAGAAGTATCCTGGCATAAATGTTGATGTTCTAGATAAACCAGGTTAATTTCCAAGATTCCTCTTAGGTCGCGGGGGAAGCTCTTATAACTGTGCGAGGGTTGAAATATATGAAGATACCGTTCTTCTAGAAGCTCCGTAGCATCATTGTCATTGATGATCCGACTATTTGAACCTGACAACCAAGAAACCCCAGCTTCGGCTCGTCAAAGGAAAGTTGTATAACGGGAGGGTTGGAGAATAATTCCTCGATCAGCTTAACGTGATATACAATCTTTATACACTGCTTTCTTGTTAGTTAAAACGATTAATATACGCTTTCTTTACTGGTTCGTTTATGTTTTGTCCATTAATATCTTTGAAGTTTTGGCATTCGAAGAGTACGATTACTTATGTGGGCTGGTTGCTGCTACCGGAGACTGTTATTTGGACGGACAGGTTAGCTAGATTCTGTCCACTAGGAAATCTTGGTGAAAGTCCACATCAAGTCAATGGTTAGTGTTCAACTCCACCGACCACACATTGCTCTCTAAAGCTGATGCATTCAGAAGTTTAAAGTTCCAACACTTGTTGTTTTCACGATGTTTTAGCTCATATTTGTCTGGGGCGTATGACGGTGGTATCGCTCCTCGACAAGAGAGCCAGGATTGGGAGGTTGTCGATCAGGAATTTTTCATTCTCCAACATTTGGTCCAAACACGATGGTGTTAGATTGTTTCTCCATCGAGTTACCGACTTCATATTCTCAAATAATACCAGTTCCTCAGCACGGTTAAAGGAATGACCTTCAGTCGAGTTATAAGCTACATTGTGTGAGTGATCAGCAAAGTTGAACTTGGAAACATTGAGGTTTCCGAAAAAATTAAAGTATGAATGTAACCGAGACTATAAGAGAGGGATAATCCCCGAGCGTACGGTTTTTATGACCAGTATCAGTGGTAGGTTTTCTGTAGAAGAATTCAACTAGAAATCTCGAAGCTTTAGAAAAATTTATTCAGCATCATATGGGTTCATCGTGATTGATAAGCTCTTGAGTTTACACATGGTGTGTTACCAATCAAGATCGAAGATCCTTCTAATACACTATTCCAGTTGTAGGGAAATGGAGGAATGTCAGGTATTTTCAGCTTCTCGTTCATGATTCTCGAAGGTACCCATGTTTCAAATATTCTTATCAGATGAGTCTAACTGGAGTTGCTTAATTCATGTAGGTCACCGTCTTGTTCAATAAGCTTGCAGAATTTGCATGTAAGCAGTTTATGTCTTTGGTCAGAAACGTAAGAGAGTCTTTATCCCGTTTGTCCGAATGGAACTATTTTGAAGGTACAGGAACACAGTAAGCTTGATAGGTCATATTGATGTTGGAGGGCGGGTAGGCGTACTGCGATAAGTCCTACCCGTTCTTCCAGTGTGGGTTATGATATGAGAGTGAACCATGATCTGAGGCATCTAGAGGGCTTTGCTTCGTATGTAGGGATTTTACGGGCCGGTGTAGAATCCAGTATGAAGGCTTAGTTTTGGGAAAATCCTTTCATGTATACATTTGTATTGTGAGCTTGCTGACTCTCTCTGTTCAATATTTTGGTACTCTGTTTAGTCCCAATTTGGGATGGTAATATCTGTATTTTGTTATGATTTCTATTTTTTGTACCTTTATTGGAGTTTCTACGTTACCTACTGAACTGCATTTTCGTTTAAGTTGATACTTAATTATGGCTACAGCCATATCGGATTTGATACCTTGGCGGGCAAAACGTGAATCCGGACTAAAAGGGTGCAATTTTGGACCTATACGGAGGCATTCTTCCAGAATTGGAAACATACTGTGTTATTTTTGATGGAAATCTGTGTAATATTGTTTACATAATTATCTGTATTTTTGATTGATAATAGAATCGTTTCCTACCCAGATAAATTGCTTTCTATTTGGATTACCTGGGCAAGTCGTGTATCTAAACTTCTAGAACTGTTTCTCCGAAATCAGAATCCACTCTGAATCCTACATCCGATGCTTGCAAATTCCATTTAGCGACCGGCGTCGATTGGTACAAAATGTCTCAAGTGTAGCAGCCGCCATTTGGTCAGATGGGCAGGCTGTTATAATTATTAGGGGTTTTGAATCTCTGTCATCTTTAGCTGCTTGCTAGGTTGAGCCTCAGTGACTGTTTTAAAATCTCCACCCTTGAAATTCATTGACTGTTTTATTGGAGCTCGAATTTTCGAGACGCCTTGCACATTTACGTTAATTGCTCCAAAAAATGTCTTGCAAGACGCCTTTTGGAGGCCGCGGATGAAACTGCCATCTCAATATGATGTATACGGCAGAACCCTCATATCCACCTCAGATTTAGGCAGGTAACTGGCCAGTAAGTCATCTTCCATGTCAGCTTGCTTATGGAAGTTACATGGTGACTTAAATCATAATTATGACCAGAATCATATATTTACTCTCAAATAACAGCGTGTTACTAATCGCATGTAAGTTTACAGACTAGATGGTTTTGTTAATTGGTATCCTACTCCTATATTTATCAGCTTGTGGGTCTATTTTT